ATACATGGCTTTTTCATGTGCTGTTTTTTATTACCAGATTGCAGCCCGATGTATATATATTGCCTTCGCCTGCCTCATAGCCTCGTTTCTGGGGTGTGAGTATGCTGGGAGGGTGATGTTCTTCATCTGGGTGTGCCTCATCTTTTTTGCTTTCTCCGGAATCTTCTCCATCATGCCACCTGCCATTGCCAGGATGTATGGGAACACGTATGTCGGTGTCAACTTTGGACTTCTTTTCACATCCCAGGTAAGGCAATATGATAGATTCGTTGACAAAATATATCCACAGTTCCCCATGCTTGCAGTGAGATGCGGGTAAACGTGACCTGACAAATCAAGCTGCCTAAAGGAGTAAATTGTCTGTCTCTGATTATAAACACTCTACCATTGCTGACTGCAACCTTTAGTCACACTTAAAGCCTTAATCATACGTTGGTGCTTCTAACACCAGTAAGTCATACTAAGTCATACAACATGCATGTTACATTAGTATTTATTTTGTTACTTTGTATGAGATTAAAGGATTAATTGTATAGATGCACATTTATGCTGGCACTGAGAGTCTACACTATCACTTCTTTAAACGACGGTTTAAGCTGAAGCTGTACAGTGTAAACCCGAATTCGGTTCCACACATCAGTGAAAATGTGAAACACCCCTCTTGCTTACCCTGTGGTAATATATCTGACGTTGATCTCAGGATCTGATACTTCTAGTTGTGCTTAGATGACCAATATGTCAACTATTTGACTTGCTGTCTCATCAGATCATAACTGGAGCCACAAGTGCCTTCCTTGGGCAAATCCTCAAAGATTCCATTGGCTGGCATGGCTTGTTCTTTCTGTCAACTGGATTCACCGCGGCCGGTAAGACATCAATAAAACCCCATGTATACGAAATTATGACCTGTAAAAGCATTATACATTAAAGTTTACTCCCCGATGTTTAATTCATTTTAACTTGTCTCAAATTGCTGTCCATCTCGAACATCTTACGACCTCTGGTGTATAGCATATATCGACTTTTCAATGTTGATTCTTACACCGTTACCAAGCTAGCTTGGTTTGTGTAGTCATTCTGGTTTGATAGGGGTGTGAGAATCTACATCGTAAACCTCGCTATATGCAATATACCAGAAGTTGTTATGCATTAAGTTGTTTTCTTTAGTCAGCAACTTGTGGAATGCCAATCAAACAGTCAAAAGTTTTTACACTGCAAACTATTGCCTACTAATCAGACAGAAAGATCCTTCGTATCTGACACGTAACCTGAGCCCCTTTTCTTTTCAGGTTTTATCGTTATATTTTTCCTGAAAACGAAAACATCATCAGGGGATGATTTCTGAAGGGAATGAGACTTCCACTGTTGCATCTGTGACCAGCTGGGTGTACATCTCTATACGATCAAACACAACGATATACATTGCATCTGTGACCAGCTGGGTGTACATCTCTATACGATCAAACACAACGATATACATTGCATCTGTGACCAGCTGGGTGTACATCTCTATACGATCAAACACAACGATATACATTGCATCTGTGACCAGCTGGGTGTACATCTCTATACGATCAAACACAACGATATACATTGCATCTGTGACCAGCTGGGTGTACATCTCTATACGATCAAACACAACGATATACATTGCATCTGTGACCAGCTGGGTGTACATCTCTATACGATCAAACACAACGATATACATTGCATCTGTGACCAGCTGGGTGTACATCTCTATACGATCAAACACAACGATATACATTGCATCTGTGACCAGCAGGGTGTACATCTCTCTCCGATCAAACACAAAAATATTCATGCATATGTGGACAGTTTCATATGTGTCTATAGACAATAATATGTATAAAGTGAGGCATGTATACCTATATAAATAGTGACTTTGAACCTTGATTTGAACGATGTATGAGCAGTTTAGATACACGTAACAGATGTAATCGTACGGATGTGTAATTCATACTTTTAGTAATTATCTACATACGACTGTTTTATTGCTAGGAGTGAGTGAGTGAGTATGGTTTTACACCACTTTTCAGCAATATTCCAGCAATATCACAGCGGGGGACACCAAATCTGGAATTCACACATTGTACCAATGCAGCCTGGAACGATCCGGGACTTTGGCGTGTCACGGTAGGAAAGAAAACAAAACTAGCTGGGTGTACATCCATTGACACAACAATATATATGCATATGTAAACAGTGCCATGTATTCCAATACAAACAGTGACTTTGAAGCTAGATTTGAATGATGTGTGAGAAGTTTAGATCACTCTTACACATAACAGCTAATATCATACGTACGTGTAGTTTATACCTTTAGTAATTTCCTATATACGACGGTTTCATGATGGAAGTGACTTTACGAGTGTGTAAGGTTTTACGCCGCATTTTAGCAAAATTCCAGCAATAGCACGGCGGAGGACACCAAATATGGTGAGTGAGTGAGTTAGAATTTAACGTCACATTGGCAATATTTCAGCCATATCGTGACGAGAACTTAGACATAATAAATATTTATACGGAATAAAACCTGTCAGCGATGGACAGTATAATAACTAGAGTATCACAGTTTCGATTCTAAACAGGTTGCCCAATTCGGTCGTCTTTTACGACCAGCAATGGGGTGCTGAGGACACATTCTTATCTTCCATGGGTTCCCAAGGGGGCACCAAATATGGACTTTACACATTGTATCCGGCTAAGGGAAATATTGGGTCTTCGGTGTGTCATGGTAGGAAAGAAAACAAAACAGGTTACAAGGATTGTTCTTTAGAATCACCTTGGGTATCAGTAAGAAAACGTGTACAGTACAGAATACACCACTGAGAGCAGTGGACAATCAAACAGTGATTAACGCTATGGTTCAACAACTGAAGATGACATTTTGTTCACAATGGTGCCGGCTTATAAACCACATAACATACTGAGGTGTCATTCAGCAAAACTATTACGTTGAATGTTCAAAAACTATAACGGGATTTCATTGTAGCTACAAAAATATTAAATAGCAATAAAAACATAAATACCTGATATATCATTTCATCATGTTTGTTCTTTGTTTGTTGTTTAACGCTGCACTTGGCAATATGATGGCGATTTTGTCAGTAATCGAGTTTGGACCAGGCAATCCAGTGAATGATATTTTGAGCATCCATCTACACAATTGGGATACGATGCCATGCATCAACAAAGTTTGAGAGCCTGACCACCTGATCCCGTTAGTCGTCTCTTACGACAAGCATGGGTTGCTGATGAGATAAGAGTATGTATGGCATGGAATATATATAAGTATTTCGATATCCTATTCAAACGTATAAATAGATGTTAAACTTACACAACATAATCAATCTCATGTAATGAAAAGTAATCAACCTTTTTCATAAATTAAAGCAACAAACACATGTTCATGGTGTTCACGAGAAGGTTAACATATCCTTCCTCACTGGAGGCAACCATCACAAATACATGCAAAGGCAAGTCAGTTGTTCAATTACAAAAGACAGGAACATAAGGTACACATAGGGAATTGCATAGGATATAAGTTGTGTCACTGAGGCGTCAAATTTGGAAATGCCAAACAAATGTATTGACATATATATGTTAATATAAGCTCCTAAACTCTTTAACACACACATATTCGTCACATTTTCCAATGTTCATATCTATAAATGTCCTCCGTGTTCTGTCGGTGTATTGAAGGCATCGAGGTTGTCTGAACAAGGGAAATTGGTTTCCACAAGCCTGTTGTTAAGTTCTTGTTCGGGGCGGACGTTTGTATATGTCGCCAACACCCGCCCACCTTTTCTTGGAAGGTTCCTCAGCATCTGCAGCTATAAAGAAAAGGGGTAGGGTGGGTTAGGTAGTACTGTTAAGAAGTTGCTGCCTGAAATAATCACGATAATGAGACATAATAGTCTCGTGTTCTTACATTGAATATGCCTTGCATAGTCGTTTCAGATATAATGAATACTATTAATACGTTACATAGCATGTAGATGCTCCACACGTCGCCGTGGAACAGATACCATGGATTACAAACTGCTACCGTACATAAATGAATATTTTGGTACATGTAGCTGTCAGGATTTCGGGGAAGGATAGGTCCGCAGTTCCCTACGCTTGTCGGAAGTGTTGCCTAAAGAAGACAGTCTGGTCAGGCTCGCCAGTTTGATGGTGTCACCGTGTCTTATAAGTGATCGTTACTTGCAGCCACTGACTCAGTTATTTACAGGCTGTCGTCATATAGCTAAAATAATGCTGACGACAGCGTTAGAAAAAAATCACTCACTCTCTCATTCTGATATCCTACAAATGATCCATATAAAATAGCAGGAATGTACTGGAAGCGGAATCCATAGGGAAAGATGGCTCCTTTGAACAATTTTAGTTATGCTAGTAGCGGACTACACAGCCTGAAAATTGCTGAAAGCAGGTATTTCATCTCAGGTATACATACAACAGAATCTGTAGTACTGTTCCATATTACCTCTGGATATATACTTGCAAAGGATTCTAAGCCCAGTAATATTCCTTAGTAGTCACGGCTTGGTATAAGGGACATCAAGAGAAAATGTCTCATTTATCATTTCTTGGTTACGATATAAAAAGCTTCTCGTTTCTACATGTATGCTATGAACATCAAATACAGATCAACGTCATCCACAGGCGGACGTTCCATGACATACCCCTCGTGAACTCAGCTGTAATGGTTGCCTCATAACGACCCATAGTACTGACTCCGAGCATGGCGGAGACGTGAGCGAGCCCTCATATATGAAGAACTCTTTACTGTGGGGGAGCAGCAGGAGGGGTCTTATAGTTGTCCTGAGTTTCGCATCTGTAGGAGGGAATATACATCATAACACATATACCATGTATAGGACGCTACAAACATAGAAACATTACATGTGTTGTAAACAATATTGTATGTGGTAATTACAATGAAACACAATATAGGGCTGGGCAATACAGTTATATCAAGTAGTTTGTGTAGTACAATGGAAGCGACCTGTGAGGATCCGGGGAAGAATAGGTTTTCAGCAACCCAAACATGCCGTAAAAAGCGACTATGCTTGTCGTAAGATGCGACTAATGGGATCGGGTGGTCAGGCTTGCTGCATAATGTATGTCATCGCATCGCAATTGCGTGGATTGATGCTCGTGATGACAATCACTGGATTGTCTGGTCCCGCCTCTATCATTTACAGACCACCGTCATTTTGCTGGAATATTGCTGAGTGCGGCGTAACACAACAAACAAACAAACAAATAAAGTGTAAAGCATATCTTCTTGGATACACTTATAGACAGTGATATTTCATATTCTGAGTTGGTTTGGTTCGTATGTAAAATAAACACTGTACCGTTTGCCTTTAACCTCGACACCAAGCAGACATATCTTCTTAACTCGCTGTTTGGTGATGTTCTTGCTTTCTAAAACAACAAACGCGATAACTTGCCAAATAGGTACTGGCTATTACCACAAAAAGGACCCTTATATACCGTTTCCTTGTTTTTCCCCATAGAGTGGATCAATCTTTACAGTTATCAGGCATGATGTCATCCAAAACATGAGACAGGGATACTACACCACTTTCTTACAGTAATCTTAAAAATGTGGTTTACAAAATGAAAATACAACATGGAACGTGCTGCTCGCCTGTATAAGGATAGCAATAACGGCAAGTCCATCCGGTTTTGACGTCGCCTCCACTATACCGCTATACTTCCTGTTGTAGTGCACCAGATGGACCTGAAACAGCGACAACATAGCAGTGTAATCCTCACGAAAATAAGGAACTATAAATTCTTTATTATAACAACTAGATCATTTGTTTTAGGGTTATTACATATACATTAACATAACATTTATTCCATAATACATATTACATTTCTGTACACATTAACATTAGTATCTTTCTTTTAATAATTCAGTGGGTTTTTCCAGTCTACATTAACAATTCACATATATAGATCTCTACAGCATATCCACTTTAGCATTTAGCTGTTTTCAGCTAATATGAATAGCGTCCTGATGTGCCCTACCTGCTCATATCTCAACATTCATCTGCCACGTCAATACTAAATTATTGACAGTTATGTCTCTCTATTTGTTCGACCGCCTCCGTGGTCTAGTGGTAGAGCGTCCGCCCGGAGAGCGGAAGGTCCAGGGTTCGATCCCGGGCCGCGTCATACAAAAACACGTTAAAAGATTGTACTTGTTGTTACCCTGTCTGGCGCTCGGCATTAAGGGGCTAAAACAAGGACTGGTCGGCTCGGAGTCAGTATACTGTGTCTGAGTGGGGTATTCATGTTAAACTGCGGCATGGTATCTCAGTGAGCTAGCACTATAAATCGGCATCAGTCCGGACTAGTACAAGCAGCCACACACACACATACACGTGCATGCACGTCGCTATATAAGTGCAATAATCTTGGACGCGACGTTAAACCCAATTTCACCTCACCTCACCTCTATTTGTTCACCATAGCTGTTTACAGGCAGTATGGGCTGTATCCTTCTTCCACCAACATGGTAAGTAACAATTCACTAGATGCAGTCAACCTGCTTCTGGACAATGTTTACTCGCTGCTCGGGTCCCGTTTAATGATTAGAGAGTGGATGGGTCCCATAGCATTGGCTGAATTGGGCGATCGTTTTGAGCAAGGGTGTGGAAGAATGTGCCATAGGACATCATCCGCAAGGGTTTCTGGGCATCGTTGTTTTGTATAGTTTATTGACATTGTGAACGGGAGAGATGTACAGGTTATACAACCTTAGGAAGCCCTCTCTGAACAGATTTACGCTGCACAAAAAACAAATCAAGTTTAAGTTAGGGATAGCCTTGTGAATTCCACCAATAGGGGAATATCATCATTATAAAGAATGGCCTCAATGTATATCAAAATAATCCGTTACTAAAGGCAGGTTCTGGGACTTTAAATTCAGAGACTGAAATTCCATGTCCATACCTAGGCCTTTCCTCCATATTCATTCCCGAGGTTAACAAGAACTTCCAGCTTGTAACATTCCAGAAGCAACCTTTAGTAAAGTAGTTCCTGATGCCACATGTGACTCATTGCATCCGCCCGATTTCGTCGTTCGCCTGTCTCTGTCCTACGTTCACCCACTCGACCTACCTCGGCCCCGTATCCTGTGTGTTCCAGCCAGTGTTCGGAGCCTGTGTCCCCTGTGATGCCAGCATGGTAGTGTATCTCCCCCAGGAGGAACGTGCAGCCCTGACGACGGGGTACGTCACTGAGAGAGAGTCTCCTTTTCGGGAAGGTCATTGTAGCTGTTTGTCCTGTGGATATGTAGGAGACATTGAATTGGTATTGAAAGAGAACATGTCCCTGTCTTGCGTTCCGTATCTTTGTACTAATACTTCTGCCACAAAATAGTCCCTGGTTCGAAATAGGTCGTATCCCTTTTATAAGCCTGAAAACACTATAAAATGTGCTCTTCTGAAACACTGACGAATCGAGTTTGAAGAAATATAAATCCGAATGTGCACTTGTCACTTAAACATGATTTATGGTCTTGAACATGAACTCGATGATAGCCGTATAGAAAATAATCACACCCTCCATACATATAGACAAGGAATGACACATGCCATGTTGGTCCTTATTCAAGATTTCGCACTCGGTTCGAATCACAGCTCTCTATCGCATCAAATATGAATGTCACTTGTTCCAACCTTTGGTACTTGATAACAAACCATAAGCTGCACAGTCGTGTTAATCGGTGCTAACCTTAACTCGTATTTATTTTAAAACAACCATCAGATCTCAGCAGACGTTTCTGATATTGGTCTTGGACACCATTGTTGCAGGGGAACCTACAGAAATGATGGCGTAACAATCTGAGATGAGTACAAGTCATTTGACATCAAATATGATGTCCTCATCAGTTAATCACACTGGTGTTTTGTGTGACTGGAGATTGTCTGTGGTCGGCGCATCTGTATTCCTGAACGTTAACATTCTGTTATTCTATTTTATTGCAAACACACGTTCAGCATGTTGTTCGTGGTATGGACGTGTCGATCTATATGGCTAGAGGTAACTTATATATTCAGCTAACACCAAACTGAAAACCTACCATTGTTATATGTGACTGACGATACACTTGCAGCCTGAGACTGACTGTATGTGAGAGTGTAGGGCTGACCACACGCTGCGCCTCGGGTACTCAGAGGTACGGGAGACTGCTTCGCTCCCCCACAGCAGGTTGAGATCCGGTGCCACCGCAGTGGACCTGCAATATTAGCATAATTAGCCCAGTTTGAGTGTGTATCATATAACTATTCATACATGCTTTTGTCGATATAGGTATTACTTATATCGAAAACATTTGACAGAATTTGCTTTCTGCAATCTCTTTACACACACACAAAACTGTCCCTTCTCTGTCACTCTGACCTGACTCTTCTGAAAAAAGGAACAAAATTGTTCATCATCAAATTTCATAGGTAAATACTACATAATCTGATTTTATATGAACAAGTAACGAGGCATAATTATAAGTGCTTGACTGTCAATATGTTTTTGCGTGTCTGTTTGTTGTTTAAAGCCGTACTTAGCAATATTCCTGCTGTATGACGGCGGTCAGTACATAATCGAGTTTGGACCAGACAATCCAGTGATTGACATCATGGACCTGTCAATATGTACAACTGATATATATTCAATACTTTGAACAAGGCATATATGTGAATACCCCATACTAATCGGGAATTTATATAAATCGCATGATTCTATTTTCCCTTCTCTGTGGACGTGGATGAAGTTTTAATAAAACTGATATGAATAATTTATTATATAATATAGATAAGGTCACTTTCGATATCAACAACATGTCGCGATATCAGACTTATTGGTGTATTACGGCTGATATTCCGTTGGTCATAGTGTTCTCACATTTATATATCAAATTGTTCCATTAAATTCAACTTTGTCTTATATCTTGAATTTTCTTAACTTTGTCTATCCACAAATGATCCACTTTGAAAATTAAATTGGTTCACTGAGAATGCCTGCTAGAGAAATAAAAGCGACAAAAGCCTTTCCATATCCATGAATAGTATCTGCCAAAAGCACAGTCGAGTGTGCGAATCCGTCAGTATTATGGATCATTATCAAATAGTGTACAGCAATTTAAGGTTTCGGAAGACGACAAGATCATCTTGTGCAAACTTGTGAAAATAGGTTTCCCACATTCCGAGACTCAGCAGGCGAAACCAGCAAAATGTATTGCTATATGAACTTCATCTTTCTGTTTCACGGGTTTACGTGTTGAGTGAGTGAGCGAGTATGGTTTTACGCCGCTTTTAGCACTATTCCAGCAATATCACGGCGGGTGACACCAGAAATGTTTTTCACACATTGTTACCATGTGGTGAATCGAATCCGGGTCTTCGGCGTGACGAGCGAACGCTTTAACCACAAGGCTACCCTAACGCCCTGACTGACATGACGACTCTTTGGATAAGGACTTTAAAGCTTATGATAAAGGAAGTAAAACTTGTCTCTGGTCACTCTGCGGAATTCTCTGGTCACTCTGCGGAATTCTCTGGTCACTCTGCGGAAAGTTCCTTTACAATATCATTCAACCACGCCTTTGATGTCGGTTTAATCCAAACAATCCTTCTTGCGCCAATCCTATTGTCAGATAAGTACAAAGAAGAAATGAGAAATCTCTCCCTTTTGGAATTTGTTTATTTCATACTTATGCTTTTATTTACATGTGCAACTTTACGTGCAGAAAAGGTACGTGAACAGGGTTGTATGTTGTCCACTGCCAATAGTTCCATCAACTGACTATTCTACGATACATAAACATTGGTAAGTATAACTTACAGTACAACGAGTAAAAGGTGACTATGCTTGTCGTAAAAGGCGACTAACGGGATCGGGTGGTCAGCCTCGCTGACTTGGTTGATGCATGTCATCCATCCCAATTGCGTGGATCGATGCTCATGATATTAATCACTGGATTGTCTGGTCGATTATTTACAGACCGCCGTCATATAGCTGGAATATTGCTGAGTGCGGCGTTAAACAACAAAACAAACCAACCAATACAGAACAACGCGGGGATAATGCCACCTTTTGTACATTAGACAAAATGGAAAAATAACCACGTTGGCATTATAGTAAAGTGATGTCATTGAATATTGAATGTCTGTAGATATATCCATGGTATTTCAACATACTCAGTCGATTACTGATATTACCTTGTCACCAGCTAAAACACAGGGTATTTTGATTTATAAAATGGATTTAACGAATTAGATTACCAAAATACCCAATATATATGGAGAATATGTTTCTCTATGTCAACTACTAGGATCTTGTCTAGTGTTTGTTCAACATTTCAACTGAACTGGCCAGACTTATGTCCCGAGATCATTCATATGACATTTGAAAGTACTATTTATTGCCTTTTACTTTATTTATTTCTACAAAAGTGTCTACCGGTACCTCAAGCTTTCTTTTGAACTATGAAGTATTATATGAAATAATGTCCATCAACTCTATATTTTACTACATGTTGTTTTTGTTGCCTTATTTGAAGCCGTACTATTGCAATATTCTATCTAGCCTACCATGGCGGCCTGTAAATAGTGGAGTCTGGTCCAGACAAACCAGTGATTCTAATCATGGGCATCGTCCCAGAGCATCTGAACACAATGACACGGAATCAACTAAGCCGAGTTGGATACCCGACCCATCGTCTCTGACAACGTTGGTAACTGGGAACGTGATGCTATATCCTCTTTTACTATCTAATCCCCACTTGGTACAAATACATAGCAACGTTTCACGCCTTCATAACATGCTTTTTAAGGCTATTGCTGATTCTGCCATGACCTTCTTAAACTCTGTCAGATGTTTCGACAGTGGATTTTTTTTATACCCCTTGTTCCCAAACCAGATACTTACCTTGGAATACCATCAAACCTTACCTTTGGCTGGGCCCTACCCAACAGCGGTAAAGACACCTTAGTGTTTGTAAACTCATAAATGTAACAACATACAGATTCAAAGGATAAATGATACTGTAAACTCCTTTCTAAACCGATTTACTTTTTGTGAAATAAATGGTTAAAAATACATCAAAGATTGTCAAAAGAACCTCTTGCGGTTTACATACCATTCGATGCGTACATGTTGTATCCGAAGGACGACTTCGACACCGACCCCGCCGTACACAGACGCAAACGCGGCTCTGCATTGTACGTATAAGAACTTCTGTACAATGTAAAGCCATGAGAAGGTCGGAGAAAAATCACAAACAACACACTCAACGTTTCCATTTGAAAAGACACACAGCAGCTAGAACATTCTACTGCTTGCAAAGAATTCAACGGGGGAGAAAAACATCCCTGGCAAATAGGATATGCGTCATGACAAATGACGTTACCGTTCTGCATCATGTGCAACGAATTGTTTACGTCAACTTTGAATTCTAGATCCTGAAACTTGACGGGACATCTGTGGATCAAAGATCAGGGTGTAAATGTTGTTTACTGTCCCATTCATCTTACAACTTCGCTGACGTGACAAAGTGGTGACATGCTGTTCCGTGTTAATGCACATGCAGCAACAAAATGATATATGACGAGATCACCAAGCGAAAATAGCCACACGTATTTTCCTGGCTCTACACCGGTTATTCATGTCAGGCACTGTCAACATGAAACATGATCTGGTGGGTGGGAGTTGTAACCTGGAACATTGCTACATAGGGAACACAGCTATAAGCGTTTAGTTGGGTTTTATACCAAAGGTACACAGTAAGTGAATCGGCCAAAATGAGAAAACAGTCCAGAGAATTGTACAAAGTTATTGAGTGACAGGGGCAGATGGTTCGTAAACAGCTTATTTACAATATATCCTGCCTGGTTGATTGCACGTGGCAGTGGTGGAGAGAAGGGGTATCCCATGCAGAAGGGGAATGTCCGAGTAACTCTCCATTCCCTAAAAATAATGGAGCAGAGGCCCCCCGTAAAAGCCTTAAAAGCAAAAAATATTATGTTTATAATGTTGTTACAGCAGGCTACTACGTCAATGATCATATTTAAAGCAAATAGATTCAGGTCTCAATCTATCCTATAATCCCCGTCAGCATTTAATTATAAGCGATTGATGAAATATTACTTCAGGACCCCACGAGACCCGGGAAGATCCGGGGAAGAATAGGTCTTCAGCAACCGATGTTTGCCGGGAATGGTGACTATGTGGAATACTCCGCTCAGACACAGTATACAGACTCCGAGCCGACCAGTCCTTCTGTTAGCCCCTAATGCCGAGCGCCAGACAGGGTAACAACAAGTACCATCTTTTAACGTCTTTTTGTATGACGCAGCCGGGGATATATGTACATGTATATGTTTATATGAGACTAACGGGATCGTGTGGTCAGGCTCGCTGACTCGGGTGATGCATTTCATCGCTTCTCAGTTGAGTGGATCGATGCTCATGATATTAATCACTGGATTGTCTGGTCCCAACTTGATTATTTACAGACAACCGTCATACAGCTTGAATATTGCTGAGTGCGGCGTTATACAACAAACAAACAAAAGGACCCCACGAAATTATGATGAGCCGTGTATAATGCATTTTAAATATCAGTTCACGAGGGATCTTGGTGCACGTGCAACAGCGGCAGAAAACGTATTCCTCGTAAATCACGCAAGGGCGACTCACACAGAATAAATACAGCCGACAAAGAGTTCTGTTGAATTAAGCAAATAATTTTCCACGAGACAATGTTTGGTCAAAGTGTGAAAGTGGGGATGTGTTTTAAGTAGGGGAATATCCTTGTACCAGGTCTCAACTCTATTATTTTTAAGGAAAGGAGCGATTGACGCCATAAATTTGTTTTTATTCATGAAATCACAAAAACTTTACAGCATGTACTTAATGAAGAATGTTTACGTAGCATTGTATAAGTAAACGTAAAATGCAACTGAAAAATCGTTTTTTGTTATCTTTCACCTGAATTTTTCATGTTTTCTTCTGTTTTGTTTGCCAATTGTATTCAGCAGGTGTCAACAGGGATTGCAAAATGACAAAGGAACGAGCCTTTATTAAAGTGTAGTAAAACATACAAGCTTTGTAAATATACTATTGCTGTTAGTAAATTATGAGAAGAAGATTATTTGAATAGTAATGTCTACTAACTGATTAGTAAACTGCCCTAGTCAATGATAGGCCACATGTACTAGTCTAATTAGCAAATATTTACTA